GCCTGGCAACCGGCAGCTCGGCTCAGCCCGGCCGCGCAGGCTCCTGCTAATTCGAAATTAATTTGTGTGACTGCAGCGTTGAGACAGGAAGGTCGGGGATTTATTGAATCGCTCCCTCCCTGCGCCAAAGGAAGCGATGAAATTTCCAATCGAGACGCCAAGGAAACAGGTGAACTGGGATCCTCAAGGTTGGTGCCGCTTCTCACTTGCCCGCGGGGATGCCTTGTGCTGGGGGGGGGGGGGGGAGCCCCTTGCCGGGAGCCTGCTCGCCCTGTGCCCCCGCGGGGGGATCCGGCGTGGGGGAGGGAGGCATCTCCCCCGGTGGAAGTTGTGGCGGCACATTGGAGGCGTCTCCCCTGCTCCTGGCTCCCTGGAGGCTTCCCGGGGCAAACTTGTCCCGGGGGGAGCGGGGCGGTGGTGGTGCGATGGGCCTGCGGGGCTCCTTTGTTGTTCCCGGCGATCATTGTCTGGTGCTGGTGCCCGCTGCCTGCTCAGTGCCCCCGCAGGGAGGTGCCGCTGGGCAGCTCCGGCCAGGTGTGTGCGCGCGGGCCTGTCCTGCATTGAGGGCGCCCGCGGGCCCCTCTCTGCCCTGACGGCTCCGCGGGGACTTGGGCGAAGGGGAGCTGCGGGCTGCGCCAGTGCAGGGCTGGGAGCTGCACTGGTAGCATCACCCCCTTCCCCTGCCAGGCCTCGCTGGGCGGGGAGCAGGGGGGATCGTGCCCCGTTTTTGCTCATCCCCCCCCCCCCCGGAGATCTGGGGCAGAGCAAGTTGGAGCCGCTCGCGACGCGGAGGGTTGCGGGGGAAGCGCTGGGGGCGGCGGTCGCGCTGCGGCGGGGCTGGGCTCCCCTTCCCGGGTGTCGGCTCCGAGATGGGCCCTTCCGAGCACTTCCCCCGGCGCAGCCTGACTGCGGGGCGGGTCCCGCTGCGGGCTGAGGTGCGGGAGCCGGCCCGGGGGAGACAAAGGCAGGCAGCGGCTCCCGCGCTCTCGTGCGCTAGCGCCTTCGGGCCGCAGGGGACCAGCCCCGGGCAAATCCCCCCGGGCTGCGGAGCGAGTGGTGCTGCCCGGGCTCCCAGCAGGGCCCACAACAGGTGTCTGGGCTGAGGAGCCCAGAGCTCCGGCACTGCAAGTGGGTGACAGCGGCCCCGCGGATTTCCCCTGCCCTGAGCTGACCCCCTAGGGCTGAGGGCTGTGGAGCCTAGATGGGGGATTGTACGGGATGGTTTGGATAGGGAGGATCCTGCCTCAGGCAGGGCGTTGGACAGATCAGTGGGTCTCAGCCTTTTTTTGCACCAGGACCCATTTGTAAACATCCATGGCCAGTCCCAACCCAGTGCCCCTGACTCCTGACCTGCTGCCCCCGCCCCCAGCGCAGGGGGCCCCCAAGCAGTTCCTTGCAGGGTGGAACTTAGCCAGCCTGCAAGGGAAAAGCCATAGTTTCCCATGTTTTTCTCCTGTAAAGGAGAATCCATTTCTAAAGTTTGTTCCTGACCCTTTCATATATTCTTGTGACCCACTTTTGGATCTGGACCCAGAGTTTGTGAAGCGCTGGACTAGATATGACCTCTAGAGGTCCCTCCCAACCCTGCTTCCCTATGTCTCGAGGACAGGACTACTTATTTCCCAGGTTGAATTGGCCTCATCAGCCAACCATCAACGATGCCAATGTATTACCAGGAAGAGAGAAAAAAAGCTGGATTAATTTCCAATTTTGTAACAAACACAGGATGTGTATAAATGTCTAATGGAGGAGGATGAATTTGGTAGGGAAAACTATTGTAACCCTTACATTAGTAATCCCCTCATGCTTTACTATCATAAATAGCCCCATTAAAGAATGAGTCATGTGAACAAGGAGTGCCTGGTTGAACCCTTAGGATTCAATCTTTAAAATGAGCTCATGCAAGAAATAAATGACCGTAAAAACGGCCCCTACAGAAACTCTGGGATCCCTACAAAAAGAAGTCAATTTATAATTGCACATGCTACCGTTTTTGTTTGATTTGCAGGCATATGTCTAAAATAATGCAAAACCTTGCATCCCATGGTGTCTGTGGAGTTACAGGTGGCAGGACCTTTTTAACTTGAAAGATCCAAATGCAGAACTCTGGCAGTGAAAGGAATTACAAAGGCTGCAAAAGAAATTAAGCAATCTTGATGATCAAAACACAGGGTTTGAGTCCAGTAACAATAAAGCCTCATGCATGAGACTCCATCTGAGTGTGTGTTGGTTGCCTTGTTCTGGTTGTCAGATATAAACTAGGTAGGCCCCAGTTGTGTCTAGCATTAATTTATTTAGAATATTGTACTGCCTAGGGTTAATAATGCCAGAAGTACATCCATTGATGTTTCCTACTAGTGACCAGTGTCATAGTGTGGGAGAAGAACACTACATTTAAAAAAACAATGGCCATCTCAGATTGTTCTACAATGGATTATCCCAGCAATATTGTCTAAAACAGCACACATTTTCAAAAGGTCAAAGATTTTTAGAAGACTCAGGGGACTGATGAAGTGGTTTGTTTAAACCCAGGTCAAAATGTTAATCACTGAAATTAATTAGTGCTCAACTACCACAATGCTGGTTGTAAAATAAATATTTAGGTCTTACTCCACTCATATGAAATTGGCATTTTCAATCCACACCATCAGCAAAGATGAATATGCTGTAAAGGGAAAGAATAGGTTTTAAGGAGGGAACTTACAGAAGAGAAAGTGTATTTGGTTCAAAAACAATGAGCCCCACATAGAGGATGATTTCTCATCCATTAAGGTAAGGGATGAATGAACCACCAAAACTGAATTGTACGTTTCACTACTTCATGGGAGGTGGATACGATGTGATGGGGTTGGGATGGGGTGTCATATGTGTTGCCACAAGCTGAACCTCTTCTCTGGATAAACAGAGCTCAGTATTTCAGTACCCAAAATGTAGGAACAGAGGACTGGGTGGGTCCTTCTAGGTCACTGAGTTCAGTCCCCTGCCATCACAGGGAACCTCGTCATATAATCCCTTACATATATTGATCAAGCTCCATTTTAAAAGTTGCTTAAATTATTTGTCCTCATGTCTCCCATTAGCAGGTTGTTGTGGAATCTCATAGAAACCTACTGCCAAATTCAAGCCTTAATACATTCAGTAGCTGGTTTGTACTAATTTATTTTTGTGCCATGCTGATAGTACTATTCTGCTTTGGAACTCTTATTTTGACCTTGTATGACCAGGCATACCTATACCTGTTTTTTCTCCCTGCTTTGAACTCTGCTCTCAATGGCAGGTTTAAATACTTCGGTGTTTTTAGAGCACTTTATAACACAATGAAAGCTCAATTATGTAAAGAAAGGGTAAGAAAAGCAGGCACATCAAGATCTGGCCCATTAATTCTAGGGAAAATTTA